CTGGAGTGTGTCAGCAGTTCCTGCAAGATGAAGGCATTGATGCTATGGACTGGCCCGCCTATTCCCTAGACCTGAATCCAATTGGGCACATCTGGGACATCATGTCTCGCTCCATCCACCAATGCCACGTTGCACCACAGACTGTCCAGGAGTTGCGGGATGCTTTAGTTCAGGTGTGGAAGGAGATCCCTCAGGAGACCATCCGCCACCTCATCAGGAGCATGCCCAGGCGTTGTAGGGAGGTCATACAGGCACATGGAGGCCACACTCACTACTGAGCCTCATTTTGACTTGTTTTAAGGACATTACATCAAAGTTGGATCAGCCTGTAGTGTTTTTTTCCACTTTAATTTTGAGTGTAACTCCAAATCCAGACCTCCATAGGTTGCTAAATTTGATTTCCACTGATAATTTTTGTGTGATTTTGTTGTCAGCACATACAACTATGTAATGAACAAAGTATTTAATAAGAATATTTCATTCATTCAGATCTAGGATGTCTTATTTTTGTGTTCCCTTTATTTTTTTGAGAGGGGTATGTGTGTGTATATATACATACATACATACATACACACACACACACACACACACACACACACACATACATGCATATACATATGTGTGTTTGTGTGTGTATCCAAATAGAATTATTGCAAATAAACACTGTGAATTGGGTAACAAAAATAATCAGAAGTTGGAGAAATAATAATGAAAACATTTGAGAAATAATAATAATAATTTTTAAATACAATGATTCATACAAAACCTCTGCTTTCCTCCTTTTCTTCTAAACTTTTTTCTAAATCATTCCTAGACTTAGCACTTTTTAAAAATATGACTGCATCCACATATCATGCTATACTGTCTCTTGTATAATATGACATAATTCTTGCAATGAGTATAGCAATTATAATTCTTTCACCAGGTCATAAATTGTTTCTTCTCATTTAACTGCACTTTTATTAGATCTATGTTGATAAGTTAAGAGTTTGGCAAGGCAGAAAACATACTAGGAATGACCCAGGTTGCGGGAAGCCTTCCATGACTCATAGTTATAATGATTAAGCCAACAGCAATAGTTTCAATCTGTAGTTTACTTCTCTAAAACAAGTTAATGGTTTATTCACTGATCCTATTTGCATATCACTTTAAACTAAAACAAGTAATTACATCTTGGAATGATATATGAATATAGTATGTATACAATAACTCATTTAGGGTGAAAGAGTGCTCCGTCATAAAGATGTGTGCTTTCAATCATAATTGATCAAGACATAACCTTCTATAAACTACTTATTGAGAAAACTGTTTAGCACTTAAAAATGTGATAAAACTTCATAAAAATCTTATCTTTTCGTTCTAGTACTTTTAAACAGATCTCTACCCACCATTTTTTCCTTCTGCTGTCCTTTATTGGATTGCAACTTCTCAGGATAGAAATTTTGGTTATAGGCTTATATACCATTTTACAGTACTTTACTCTCTAAGCAGTTTACAGAGTCAGCATATTGCCTCTGACAATCTGGGTTCTCATTTTACCCACCTGGGAAGGATGGAAGTCTGAGTCAACCTTGAGTCTGGTGAGATTTGAACTGCCAAGTTGCAGGCAGCCTGCAGGTAGCAGAAGTAGTCTGCAGTACTGTACTCTAACCACTGCACCACCATGGCTCATAACTGCGCCATCATGGGTCATAGTAAAATACAAATTGTTACAAATGAAAGTTAGAATAATGGTATATCATTTAGTGATCAACATACATGTATGAAGGTAGTTTTAGTTTTTTTTAAACAGTGTTGCTGCCAGTTCAGCTGCCAGTTGCTCATGAATTCTAATTGAATTTATAAGCAATACTGTTTCAATAAAAGACAACTTTCTGAGTAGTTTAGTATTAGTTAACAGTATGAGTACTTTTAACAGTACAATTATTAACAGTTTAAATCAACAACGCAAAAAAGTACATTTTGAATTCAAGATATCTGATACAAAAAAAATCATTATTGATTATTACTACTGTTTCATTTTTCATTTGTGTAGCAGATAATTGGATGAGGAGTTGTAGGGTAAGGAAGGAAGATATTTTTTTGTTTTCACTATTAATAAATCTTTGCCAATCTACTTCAGTCACTCAAAAAGCTGGATGTTAGATCTACTAGTCAACGTACATCTGGCTGAACTGATTTAATTATTGACTCCTGAAGCAATTCACAGACCTGTTTATTTTGTACAAGTTTACAAAACCATTTATCACTATTGTTTATTATTTATTAAAATAAATTTTACTCACTTATATTCTCATCTATGAATGCAGTGTCGGAATATTGATAAATATACATCAAAAACATGCTATTCTTCCATTTTAAAATTTATAGAAAGAATAATTTTAATAGATTTTATTAAAGAATTCAGTGGAGCAGAGAATCACATGGTTGCTCTAAACTTTTTTTTAATGTGTTTTAGTGGCTAAGCCTGTCCTGGTATGCCATAGGTCAGTGGTTCTCAACCTGTGGGTTGCGACCCCTTTGGGGGTCGAACAACCCTTTCACAGGGGTTGCCTAAGACCATCAGAAAACACATATTTTTGATGGTCTTAGGAACCAAACCATAATTTTATGGTTGGGGGTCACCACAACATGAGGAACTGTATTAAAGGGTCACGGCATTAGGAACGTTGAGAACCACTGACATAGGTAGTCGCAACTTCCATACTTTCAATGCAATCTAACTACTTGCTGGAATTATTTGGGATATGACGGAAGCATTCTCTAGAGCAGGGGTGTCAAACTCATGTCATCATGGTGGCATCACATGATGTATTGGGACTTTTTTCCCCTTCACTAAACTGGGCATGGGCATGGTTAGCACGTGACACATACAGCCTGTGGGCCGGGAATTTGATAGCCCTGCTCTAGAGGATACTACAAATGATTACAGCCTAGGAACTATTTCTCACTTCACATAGTTCATGACCTATGCAAAATGTCCCCCTTTGTTAAAAAAGAAAGTACCGGTTTAAAAGAAACAATATATAGTTGCATAACCAACTAGCACGCCTATAAATAAATTTCTACAAATCTGTATCTAAGGTTTTTGACATACTATGCTGCTAATTAGGACAAATTTTGGGAAATTTATTTTTGAAGTCTTTTTAGACTTTTGAAGAGGGACCAGCATTTTCCAAAGCAAGTTTACATTTAATTAGCAGATCCATTTTCATGCTGGAAAATAAAAACTGCATAAAATTCTACCACCTTAAATTTTTCCCCCCAAGGTACTTGGGCAAGAGCCCAACATAGCTCTATATTTGCTGCTGTCTCCATGTAAAATTAATAGTGGTACCCTTATAGAGGCTATGTATAATCATATTTTATTTACTGTACATTTTTATTAAAAAGAGACATGTTTGCAACCATTATTTTCACTGTGACTCTGTAAAACATACGCATGCAAAACAGCTTACTGTGTGCGACATTAACTACTGTAGGAAGCTGTAAATTTAAACTGGATTGCACATCTGAATGTACATCTGTCCCTATATATTGCTCTAGATGCATCCTATCTATATGTATACTGGTACAACTGGCCATACATAACATTTATCTTCAAATGTTAAATATGGGCCCCATCCCAAAATAAAACTGAAAATATATGCAATTTATATAAACTTAATCAAGAAATACTTTAATGGCTGTTATTTCAAATTGTTCTTAAAATTAACAAAATGTTAATTTATATGAGAATATTTATATTTATTTAATCTAGTTATGTTTTTGTATAAGGTCTTTTTATATAACTGTAAACCATTTTAAGAAATAAAATAAATGAGGAAGAAGTCTGTATTTTGTCATGTAGATTCAGGGTTAGATAGTACGCCATATTTTAGAACAGCGTTTTTGAAACTTGGCAACTTTTAAGATATGTGGATTTCAATTCCATGACCAGCCTGGGAAATTCTGGGAGTTTATGTTCATTAAAGTTGCCAAGTTGGAGAAGCACTGCTTTAGAGCATTATTTAGTCAAAGGTATTCTTGCTCTCATTGCTCCTTCCCCTTTTACTTATTTGAAGCATTTAAACCATACTGTCCAGCATTTGGCCTTTTTTTTATTGAAACATTTCACTGCTTGCCCATGTAGCTTCTTGGATAAGCAGTGAAATGTTTCAAACCAACTCTGTTCATTTGAGGAAATAAATACAAAAGGCTTGCTTCCAGATAGACTGCACAGGGTTGTGCAAACTTTAAAAACTCACAAGAAACAACCAGCTACAGTATAAGTTTCTAGGGAGGGGCTTGCTTGACTAGCTTTCACAGGTCCAGTAAATTTAGTAAAGTAGAATAATCCTGAAAGCAGAACACACAATATTTCAGTATTATTCCAGCAGTATTCCAGTTTTTGAGAGGCTGTCACAAAGAAGAGGGGAGTGAACTTATTTTCCAAAGCACCAGAGGGTAGGACAAGAAACAATGGATGGAAACTAAACAAGAGAAGCAACCTGGAATTAAGGAGAAACTTCCTAATAATTAGGACAATTAACCAGTGGATCAGCTTGGCTTGAGAAGGTGCGGTTGCTTCATCAATGGAGGTTTTTAAGAATAGACTGGACAGCCACTACTCTGAAACAGTATAGGGTCTCCTGCTTGAGCAGGGGGGTTGGACTAGAAGACCTTCAAGGTCCCTTCCAGCTCGATTTTGATTGATTCTGACTGAAGTTAAATTTCTGCAGCGCGTGTTATGGAAACATTTTCCCCCAACGATCTGAAATTCTACGCTGACCAAACTTTTAATGACCCGCATTTTACAAATCCCTCAGTGCGGTAGTAACAAATGAGGGATTTATAGCACGTTAGTAACTTTGGGCGAGGGAGCAGGCACGATTACGGGCTATGTAAAAACAAAAACAAAAACAAAACAAAAAGTAAGCCCCGCGATTTCCCTGCTGGCGACCAGAAAAGATTTCTCTTGCCAATGAACTGCAATTCCCATAAAGCTCCGCTCGCAGGTTAGGCGCTGTTGCCATGGCGATCTGGGAGTTAGATATCAAGGCCTAAACTTCTCGACGCCGTTTTTGATGAAGTTGAGAAGAGATGCCTGGGTCCAGGTAAACAGAAGACCTACTGGGTTGGGTTTTCCTTCGTGGGGACCCGTGACGTGTTACACGGGCTATTTCTGCTCTGGGGAGACTTGTTTGTCCGGCGCCCTAGATCAATAATCCCCCGGATTATTTTGCATTCCGCGTCAATTTTCGATAGAAAGTGTCCGGAAAGGATCCAGATTTTTGAAGGACCGTAACCCCATCCCTCCTCGCTGCCCCAGCGAGAGAGAAAGCGATGGCAAGTATGATTCTGAGGCGTCATTGCCATGGTTATCGCGGAATAGATCGAGGCCTAAAAATCCCCGCCGTTTGTTGACAAAAGTTGCCACTTTCGCTCGCTTTCTTTCTCGGAGGGAGAGTGAAGCTCGCTGGGCCGCTGTTCGTCCCTGCGCCAGCGGGCAAGGGTGCGGTTGGCAAAAGAGGCATCTCGACGGCGCACAACTCTTTTGTCTCGGGGCGGCGACAGGGCCCACAAATGCATTTTTTTAAATATTTTCCCGGGCTAAAAGTGAACGGGCGGTGGCGGGGCTGCGCGATCACTGAGTGGGGTCCCACCCTCGGGATCTAAAGTGGGCGAAAAAGTTGATCCAAACGGTCAGAGGCGCAAAGCGTGAAAATGGAGGCGACCGGTAGCAGTGCAGTCTGCCTTCCCGCTCTGCTGCTCGTAAGACGCGGACTCGCACAGACAGCAAGCCAACTCGGCGATCCAACTGTAATCGGATCCAGGTTCCCCTCCCCCACCCCTGCATATGTAGTCCTCGACTTACGACCACAATAGACGCCCCCCCCCCCCAACGTTTCTATTGTTAAGTGAGACATTTGTTAAGTGAGTTTTGCCCCATTTTACAACCTTTCTTGCTACGGTTGTTAAGTGAATCACTGCAGTTGATAAGATAATCTGGTTTCCCCATTGACTTTTTCTGGTCTGAAGGTCGCAAAAGGGGATCACATGACCTTGGGACACAGCAGTGGTCATAAATACATGAAAGTTGCGAAGCATCTGAATTTTGATTACATGATCATAACTGAAAAATGGTCATAAGTCACTTTTTTCAGTGCTTTTGAAATTTTGAATGGTCACTAAGTGAACTGTTGTAAGTCAAGGACTACCTGTAATTAAACTCAAGGAAAAGGATCTCATCACCATACATGGGTTTGTTAGCCAAGTGGCCACTGTGCTCTTGGCAACTGAAAAGATATACTTACTTATGGGAAGGGAAGAAGATATGCTGTCAAGGAATTTGGGGCAAACACACATGCACTTGAAATTGAATGAAACTCAAATATGATCTTATTAGCAGGAGTTACAGGTAATCCTCAACTTACAACAGTTCATTGAGTGACCATTTAAAGTTACAATGGCACTGAAAAAAGTGACCGTTTTTCACTCTTGCGACCATTGCAGCATCTCCATGGTCATGTGAAAATTCAGGCGCTTAGCAACTGACTTGTATTTATGAGGTCATTATGAGGTCATTGTCCTGAGGTCATGTGATCACCTTTTGCAATATTTTGATAAGCAAAGTCAATGGGGAATCTGGATTCACTTAACAACTGTGCTGCTAATTTAGCTGCAACAATTCACTTAACAAACTGCAAGAAAAGTCATCATATGAGACAAAATTCACTTTACAAACGTCTTGCTTGGCAACATACTGGGTTCAACTGTGTTCGTAAATCAAGCACTACCTGTATCTGCTAATGAGGTGAGGAGGAAGCCCTCACAGAAATCAGTGGCAAACCAGTTCCATGCTGTTGCCATAATAACTACCTGGACAACAGCGAATATAGAAAGTCTACACAACCCTGTTAAAATGTCAGGTTTTTCCATTTAAAAAAAATCAGACCAAGATAAATCAATTCAGCATGTTTTCAGTCTTTAAAATAGCACATGTTGTTGTTTTTATCCATTTAATTGTGACTCTTGGTGACTTTATAGGCAAGTGTTCTCCATGCTAATATCACACATAAGCTATACAATTCAATTGAAAAACAAACTGAAATCATTTAGGGAGAAAAAATAAAAAACATACACTGCTCAAAAAAATAAAGGGAACACTTAAACAACAACTTTCCGGCTGTAAATATTCTACACTGCTCAAAAAAATAAAGGGAACACTTAAACAACACAGTGTAACTCCAAGTCAATCACACTTCTGTGAAATCAAACTGTCCACTTAGGTAGCAACACTGATTGACAATCAATTTCACATGCTGTTGTGCAAATGGAATAGACAACAGGTGGAAAGCAGAGGCTGTTAGCAAGACATCCCCAATAAAGGAGTGGTTCTGCAGGTGGTGACCACAGACCACTTCTCAGTTCCTATGCTTTCTGGCTGATGGTTTGGTCACTTTTGAATGCTGGTGGTGCTTTCACTCTAGTGGTACCATAAGATGGAGTCTACAACCCACACAAGTGGCTCAGGTAGTGCAGCTCATCCAGGATGGCACATCAATGCGAGCTGTGGCAAGAAGGTTTGCTGTGTCTGTCAGCGTAGTGTCCAGAGCATGGAGGCGCTACCAGGAGATAGGCCAGTACATCAGGAGACATGAAGGAGTCCATAGGAGAGCAACAACCCAGCATCAGGATCGCTACCACTGCCTTTATGCAAGGAGGGACAGGAGGAGCACTGCCAGAACCCTGCAAAATGACCTCCAGCAGGCCACAAATGTGCATGTAGCTGCTCAAACGGTCAGGAACAAACTCCATGAGGGTGGTATGGAGAGCCCGATGTCCACAGGTGGGGGTGCAGGATGTTTGGCATTTGCCAGAGAACACCAAGATTGGCAAATTCGCCACTGGCACCCTGTGCTCTTCACAGATGAAAGCAGGTTCACACTGAGCACATGTGACAGTCATGACAGGGTCTGGAGACACCTTGGAGAACCTTCTGCTGCCTGCAACATCCTCCAGCATGACCGGTTTGGCAGTGGGTCAGTAATGGTGTGGGGTGACATTTCTTTAGGGGGCCGCACAGCCTTCCATGTGCTCGCCAGAGGTAACCTGACTGCCATTAGGTACCGAGATGAGATCCTCAGACCCCTTGTAAGACCATACGCTGGTGAGGTTGGCCCTGGGTTCCTCCTAATGCAAGACAGTGCTAAATCTCATGTGGCTGGAGTGTGTCAGTAGTTCCTGCAAGATGAAGGCATTGATGCTATGGACTGGCCCGTCCATTCCCCAGACCTGAATCCAATTGGGCACATCTGGGACATCATGTCTTGCTTCATCCACCAATACCACATTGCACCACAGACTGTCCAGGAGTTGGGGGATGCTTTAGTCCAGGTGTGGGATGAAATCCCTCAGGAGACCATCTGCCACCTCATCAGGAGCATGCCCAGGCGTTGTAGGGAGGTCATACAGGCACATGGAGGCCACACACTCCAAATCCAGAGCTCCATGGGTTGCTAAATTTGATTTCCATTGATAATTTTTGTGTGATTTTGTTGTCAGCACATTCAATGAACAAAGTATTTAATAAGAATATTTCATTCATTCAGATCTAGGATGTCTTATTTTTGGGTCCCCTTTATTTTTTTGAGCCGTTTATTAACATAGTTGCATAAGATGCATACCCTTAAATTAATATTTTGTTGAAGCACTTGTTTTATGACAGCATTCAGTCTTGGGTAGAAGTCTGGCATATGGCATATCTTGCCTTGGGAATTCTTCCAGAAGTGCTCCAAATTGCAAGGTCATCTCCTATACACAGCCTTCTTCAAGTCATCCCCACAGACTTTCTATAGGATTCAGGTCTGGGCTTCTTTTACATCTCAAAAACCTGGCATTTTAACAGGGGTATGTAGACTTTGTATATCCATGAAGTCACAAGGATGAAGGTTAAAAGAGTGTTTACTTTTATGACCACCATGGTGGAGTACAGATCAGTGCATACTTCTTAGAATGAAGTCCTACTGAATTCAGTCTCATTTATAGTGATTCCGAAGGCAAGATGTGCCATGCTGATAGGCTTTTACCCCAAAAGACTGAATGCTGTTATAAAAACAAGCGCTTCGACAAAGTATTAGTTTAAGAGTGTGCATTTTAACACAACCATGTTATTGTTTATGAACTCTAAATTGACCCAAAATGTAATCTGTTCTCTACACAAGGCCTAAAACTAAATAAAGAATCCAATTAACTGAATCAAAAGCATTCTTCTTGTTCTTTTATTTATTGAGGAAAAACTATCATGTATAGTCATTTATCATTTATAAATGTCAATTAGCCAGTAACTCCTTGTGAGTTAGTGATCAGTAAAAAGGCATTCCTGCCTTTATCTTACAGTAATGTATTAATGTGAAAACAGAGAAAACTGAGTGCCGGTCTGTACAGTTTAGAATTCAAGTTTCACAAACTACTCCCGTGCATTTTAATGATTTTAATGACTCTTGGTGCTATTCTGATTGTAATGTAAGTAGAGCCAGTAATCTATATCATAACCAATAAATATACATAATTTTAATTTAAAAATATGCAAGTATTTAGTATTTATTAGCGTTCCCAATTTCAGTGAAGAAAGAAAAGAAATGTTTGTCAAAGAAGCTCCTTAAATGAATTTTTTGTTTTTGTGTGTGTGCCTTTGAATCAGTGTTGACATCTGATGACTGCTTGACAAAGCTTTTTGGTGAAGTTATGCCTAAAGTAGAACTAGAATTTACAATCCCCTAGTTTCTAGTCTGATGCTTAACTACTAATTCAGAACCAGCTTCCTTAACTGCAATTACTGGGACATTATTCTGTTTTAAGATATTTGTATTTTGTTTTCTTTACTAGTGACACTATATGGGATATTGCTAAAGCAGAAATTGAGAAAACAGAAAACAGTGAAGATGACAGAGATCCTCTAGAATGTTGTGAAAGATCGTTGTTCTTTTTAGGAAATAAAAATGGGGTAATGATCAGTATTCCACTTTTATTTAAGCAGAATATTTTTTGTTTTAAATATATAATAAAACAATTGATCCTCCTTTAGCAATGAACTTGTTTAGCAACCTTTCACAGTTACTACAGTGGTGAAAAAGTAACCTTGCGACCAATTTTTGTATTTTGCTTTATGTAGGCTCATAAAGCAAAGGAAAGCTAAAATAAAATTGTAAAATTGTGATGTTGCTTAGTGATTGCTTAGTGATCAATTAGCTTAACAACTAAGTTTCCAGTCTTAATAGTGGTTGCAAAATACTATTTCTTACTGCTATGTTCTTGTGACAATGATTGCCTCCTATATATAACTTTATCCAGCCCATATCTGCAAATATGTTGGGATACAGTTCCCAGTTTTAAAGATTTTACATTGTGGGAGGTGTGTGAATAGTTTTGATAGATATCAGATTGGAGAAGACTGGCCTAGTGAACAAACTTAAACTTGAACTGCTGATATATTCTGCTATATCTCAGTAAGCAAATATATTAATATATAAATGACTGATAGAATTGACAATTCTGAACATACTAACTAAAAATAAGTATAATCACTCAATGGGCCTTATTTTTTAAATAAGGATACCCAGAATGAATGGAATCAGTATTATAAAATAAAGGTTACTCTAAAATCTAAGCAATCATGTATTTATTTTTATAGAAATGCAAGAACAACACATCATAAACAGATTGTTTTCTCCAACAGTTTAATCCTTATAGAATAAAGTAACAAATTATGTATTGAAGTTTATATATATTACATGCATTCTTTTTTATTTCCATCTCATCAGTTTAAACCATTTCTTGTAGAAACACATTATTTGGTTAACCTTCTATATGCAATTACCAATGATTCCTCACACGAAGGTAATTGGTAGACAGATAGCTACTGTCATGCTTGCATTTAAGTGCCCTGTTGTTATTATTAACACTGTCATTTCCAATACTTTGAACAATTAACTGTAATAATACCAGCACAGCTACATTCTGATAGAAAGTTGAAGCTAACTTTCCAATAATCACATGACATATAATTGGCTAAGTTTGTAATTTTCAAATATTTTCTTAAAAAATATTTGAAGAATACTTTACAGCATGTAGGATGATACAATATGTATGCATCATTGACATTTCAATAGCATTCTTTGTTTTTAATTTCTAGGGTAAGACTAGTATTATATTGAGGTGCCTTGACAGGTATGTGTTTAAACTTTGAAAAGTATTTCATGTTTTCAAAGTATTTATCAACAATATCTTTATAGGAATAGAATATATTAAATTATTTTCAAACAATACATCTAGAAATCATATAAAGAGCACTGTATAGTTAATATCAGATCAGATGTGTTTGTGCACAAGTGTTATAGGACTTGTCACTTACATTTAACATACATCTACCTAGTGTTATGATTTGTTTTAGATCCCTCAGAGCTTTATCAAAAACTCAGAATGTATTCCCATTTCCCACTTGCTTTGAACCTTATATTTTCTGATTTCCAGCAAATTAGTTATATCAATCTGTGCTTTAAAATAACCAATAGCTTTTGTGGCATTTTAAGCACTAACATATTTATGAAATCAATATATCTTGCAAGAACCGTAAGAGATTTGACTATTTTTTGAAACATTGCTTTTTTATTATTGAATTGTTGATGATATCAAATAGTACTATTAGTTCTTTAGTGGCCAAAGACATTGTATTGGCAAATTATTTCTGCTATATATTCATTTCGCCAAATTTTCTACTATAAATATAAAAAGTAAACATTCCTAAATATACATATTTAACTCCTTATGATTCCTTAAGTTTCTATTCGGCTTTATTAGATCTTTGTTCTTATTGCATCGTTATTAGGAATAATCTACTGGAAATTGTAATAGTTTTTAATTTAATTATTTCATAGAGATTTCATTCCAATGTAGTCATTAGAAATGTTTTCCCCAGCCAGTTTTTCTTCTGTAGAATGTAAGTGGAAAGTTTTATGCAAACTACTTGTTTTTATAATATTTATAACATAATATTATAATTTTACTTAACCAGTAACTTTGCAAATTTAGTGGGTGGGATATCCTATTTTTTTAGGGATGAAGTTCCAAAACCAACCCTAGCTTTGGAATATACTTTTGGAAGAAGAGCAAAGGGGCATAATACAGTAAGTATATTGATATGGTAAATTTTTCTGTGAATGCTGTTGTATTAATCTTTAGGGTTTGAGAATTACAGTATGATGTCTAGTGAGCAGTGCATTACATCTTATATCACAAACGTTATGAGCACTATCCAGTGAAAGCTTTTGGCTACTTTACATTAATATTGTAATGAGCTTTGAAAAAATGTATTTTCAGTATATTACTTTGCAGTGCTTGGAAACAGTATTATGTACTTGCATCATAAGCCTTTGTAAGTCGATTTGTAGTTCTCTTTTTGACCATATTTCAATTGACAACAAATAGTGAAAATTGACAGCTATTGTCTGATATAATCATATGAGGTTCCCATGTCTGGAAAGTATTGCCTCAATGCAGATTTAGAGTTAGTAGCCTAATTGTTTCTTTCTGCCTTATAAGTAAATGAATATACAGTATAGATTGCAGTGTATCTATATCATCTCTCAATGAAAATATAGTTATTTCCAATAAAGTAAATAAATTGATTCCCACTTTTACATTATATTTCTTGTATTCATCTGCCCATATTAGTTTCTTCTTGTTTTTGTCTTATCTATTTTTTGCATTTTTAAGTCAAATTTTCAATCGTTGTACATTTAATCAACTGTTTCTGTTTTGTCTTCTTTTATTTTTAGTCTGTGAAGTAGATTTGTTATTTGACAAACCCTGAATGCTTTTCTGGCAGTTCTCTTTGTCATCAACATCACAAAATATGTAGTGGCACAATTTTCAATTTCAATAAATCTCCAAAGAAAAAGAAGGAGATGCCAGAGTCATCCTTGTCTTCTATTATAATGTGATAAACATACCCAGCTACCTCAGGAATCAGATAAAAAGTCTGCTAATTCTAGAACAAAGTCTTCTCATAGGACTAGTGAAGTAATATTTTAGCTTTCTGATTCTCATATTAGCTACATATGAAGAAGGAATATATTTGTTACTTCACTTCCTCTACTTTCTAATGCTACATATGCCAGCAACAATATGTTTTCTGTTAAGTAGGTTCCAGATGAACTTAGGTAGTTTAAAGTTAGCTGGAAACATTCTCCGTCTTTCTTGGCAATAAAGCAGTTTTATCAAGAATGGTGGGGTTTCTAAGGCTTATTTATAGTGCTATTAAAGTATATTGTAAAGTATATTGCAATCTATATCTAGTAATCATAGGTTTTGGAATATTTATATTTAATTGAAGACTCTTTGGATAGAACTAAAAATGTCTTGGGTTTTATGTATCTTACTGAATCTCATCATTTTTGACACCTGAGAAATTATGTAATTGAAAACACAGCTATATAAAATTTTACAATGCTACTAATTCATCAAGACATTACAATGTGAAGGTTTTTTCCTATTACATTTTCAGCCTAAAGATATTGCTCACTTTTGGGAATTAGGTGGTGGAACTTCATTGTTGGATTTAATCCCTATACCAATAATGACAGTTAACATAAGGTAAGCAATGAAAATCAAAAATAATTTCATTTTACAGAAAGTATTTCTGCCAATGTTAGAATTGGAGAGTTGTATAGTCAATCCTGTCTAAATAGTGAGGTTCTAATATCATCAAAGGAGTCATCAATTTTTATTATAATACAGCTGACAATGCTAGTTTTAACTACTTGTGAGAGTAATTAAAAATGTAGTATGATTTATATTCTTAAATTGGAAAGAAGCTAATTTTTGTCCTTTGTCTTTCTGTCTTTGCCAAGTACTACTATTTTAGATACTCTTGGACCATTTGCTAATCCATAGTAACAGGTATTATCAATCCAACTAATAAAAAGCATAGTAAAGGATTCTGTAAAGTTTAAGTCATTTTCAAAGGAAAATGTATTCCTTAATGTTTAGGTAATCTGCTTAGACTTTGGGAAGGGATGTTTTGATTCATGTTAAAGTTCTCATGGGTAAAATATTAAGGTGATATCTAAAAACAATAAGATTTCTTTTTATAGGACATTTGCTGTTATTCTTGTCTTGGACCTTTCAAAACCAAATGAACTCTGGCCAACCATGGAGAGTCTTCTACAAGTCACTAGAAGGCATGTAGACAGAATTATATCAAAACTGGGACAAAACAATCCCAAAATAGCTACTGAAATTAAGCGGAAGATGTGGAACAATGTGCCAAAGGATCATCCTGTAAGAACTAGTATTTTATTCATATGTCACAATCTCATACAAGTTAATTGTTTTGAGAATCATAAACAATTCCTTTATATTTTCATGCATGAGTGAAAATTTATTAGATATAAAAGAAGTTATTCAATGGAAAATTATAGCAATTTAATGAAAATTTAGCAGGAATAGAAAGGAGATAAGGTTTCTTATGAGTTAGATATGTAATGCTATTGTTATGGCATGTTACAACAATCAGGAGATACAATTTTACAGAAGCACTTTGATATTGGTTTTATAATCTCCTTTTCAAATGAGGGTGATAACTTCTATACATTTTTGTTACCTGGCAAGGCAACTCAAGGAAGCTATGGTTTTAAGAAAAAAATGTAGTTCCAACAACCTTCAATACAACTCTATACTTTGCCCTTATTCAAGTGTCTATCACAAAGTCAGTGTCTTTTGATAACATGACAACTAATTAAATATGAATTTTTAGGGACGTTAATACCAGCCCTTGACACTCAGTTGGTAATTTGCTCTCTTGAAGAAAGTAAAATAGCTGTCATTGAAAATATACCTGGTGCTTTTGTCTTGTATAGAAGTTTTGCATATTCTATATGCTGAGTGAGGTCATTTCTCAGTGTGGGATTAAGTATCGTCACTATGCTGATGATACTCAATTGTAGATCTTTGCCCCAGGCCATTTATGTAATGTTGTCAAAGTGTTTTTTCAGTGTCTAGAGAATGTGTGTGTCTAGTTTTGACTAGCACTGAAAATAGAGATGTCAGTGTTACAATGCACGTATAAATCAATAGTGCAGCCACATCTGAAATAGTCCTGATAACTGCATCTCAAAAAATATATACAGAAGCTTCAGAAGAAGGCAGTTAAGATGATCAAAGGACAGGGCAATTTCCCTGTTGAGGAAGATTATGACATTTAGGACTTTTAGGGCTGAAAGGAGACAAAATGAGAGGAAATATTTTGAGGTATGCAAAATATGCATGGTGTGAATAGACAAGAAGAAGCTATATTCCTATTCCTGAATTACTAGAATCAGAGGGTATTCAATTTTGGAAGATTTGAGACAGACAAAATAAAAAAAAAAGTTGCACAAATAACTGAACACTGGAATTTGCTATCATGAGATATAGTGCTGATTATAAGTTTGGCTTTATTCAAAAATAAGGTATGGACCAGTTCATGAAAGTGATGGAGATCAGTGGCTGTTAGCTTGATGGAAGTATGATATGATCTGCTGTGAGACTATTAGGCTTCCTTGAGGAACTGACTGGCCACTGTGTGGACAGTGCTTGACTAGATGAACTAAAGATCTGATCCATCATAGTACTATATAAGTTCTTATGACAAATATATTTCTGTCTTGCTTCATTTATTACATTGATTCCAATTCACCAACACTCTGGAATGGGAAAAGGCTCAGCACCTTCCCATTTTGTCTATTATAAAAATTACACGTATACTGTAAGTGCAAAGGTAAAGTGTCCTGGGCAAAAGGAAATTCTTCCCACCAATCTCAGTACCTATTCAGTTTCTTCCAGTTTAGCTTCTGCTATTGTACAACTTCTTTCACATGTTTCAAAACAGTAGCACAAGCCACTAGTGAGTTACTGGCATGCCCATCTGATCACTGCAGATTAATTGCTATGCAGTCTTAAATTTTGTTTATTCAAAGCTTATATTGAGAAATGACAGTTCTCTATATAATATGGAGCTTTATTTTTTTCAGCGCATTGTCATTACATTTGCAATTGATAATACAGTACTGTTGTTTATTATTAGGATCGTGAGCTAATTGACCCATTTCCAATTCCACTAGTTATAATTGGAAGCAAATATGATCTATTTCATGTAAGTAATGCTCATTTAACTATGTACAGTTTGGTGTCACTATTATTTAGCTTTAGTAATTTGAACAGTTGGCCATTATTGGAAAAGTTCACCATATACATTGGAATATTTGTTAGGTTAATTTGTTTCTAGCAATAATAATAAATTTAAACATGTCCATGTATGTTTAGGATCATTTTCAATTTATTATACCAAAAGTTGATACAAATAATCCATCCCTATAATTCTGCTTTCAGCTATGCTGATAATTTAATAACAACACCCTGGTTACTTGCCACCTTTTAGAGAAATAATAATATGCTTTTGCTGATACTGAGGTGAAAGTAATATTTGATCTAATTTAAATAGTTATCCCTTAGTTTAGAAATATGTAATGTAACACTATTATATACTGTAAAATACCTGGGATGCTATTTATTTTTCTTAGGAATTTGATTCTGAGATGAAAAAAATAATATACAAGACACTTCGATTTGTTGCTCATTATTATGGTGCATCTTTAGCGGTATGTATGATTATATTTCAGGAGTACAATTCAGTTCATATATAATCCTTTTTTGCGTCTATTTGTTTCATCGAAAATATAAAACTTACTGTGTAGCAGGAATGAAAAAAGTAAATCTCACCTTAAAAAAAATATATTTTAAAACAGTCCTATAAAATATATGTATATAAATGTCAGATACAATTACATATACAATGCTACTTAATATTAAGCCTGCCTAGCTTGAAAAAGACATGTTGTAAGGGAACTTAAATGAATGAAAAGTTCAATTATTTGCCGGATGGAAACAATTGGCACATTTTATTTACAAAATATAAGACAATCAAAGGAGACATGAAAATAAGTTTGTGACACTATGGATAGTGTAGGTCTAAATCTAAAATATAGAAAGGTTATGGTTATTTTAAGTATTCTTCAGTAAAGAAAATTCTAATGTATTTTTTAAAAAATCATTTTTATGTTGCAATGAATTAGTTTTTTGTGTGTGAACACTTGATAGCTTTCGAATTAAATTACTGTATTGTAGTTATTATATTATTGTATTTGGATCTAATAGATATTTAATTGACCAACGAATCTTGGTGAACTGTATGAATCTGTTGGCATAGATACTTTATTTACAACATGCTTCAGAACCAATAAGTAAGATTCTCTTCTCTCTGATGTCACCTTTAAGTGTATTTCAGAGGTCCCTTCATGGCCAGGCCTTTTAAAAGTTACTGTTGAAACAGTCACATATTAATAGAGAAATATAAAACTACAAGAGTAGAAAAGGAAAAATAAATAAAAAGAAACAACAAATGTATACATTTGGCAATGTTGATGCAATTGTGTTGATACATTTATGTAAATAAATGATCACATAATATTAAGAATAGATAGATAGAATACTTTATTGGCCAAATGTGATTGGACACACAAGGATTTTGTCTTAATGTAAATACTCTCAGTATTCATTTTAAAAAAAGATACATTTGTCAAGAGTCGAGAATCATGAGGTATGACACTTGCTAGTCATAGGGTACAATTAGGCTGAAAAATAATGTTAGGAATGTAAGTCACCTAACAGCTATTTGGGTTGGAAATATATAAACCAGGATAGACATTTTAATACTGTATCTTTAAGAAAATGCAAAATCTGTAGTTGGGTGTGGTTTCTTAAATGGCCATAAGATGGAGCCAGAAACCTGGATTGTCTTAGTCTTAGTCTCACCATTACTTCGATTGACTGCTATTCTTGGATTTGATGTAAGTCTGATACTGAACTGTTTTTTGACACTGGACTTTGTTATTGGATTATCCCTGAATTGAAAACTGACTGACTTACCTGTGAATGACTTTGGACTGTGTTTGAACTTTGCTTAAACCTTTCTGGAAGTAAAAACCTACATTTACTGTACAGTGTATCTATGTGCTGTGTGTGTATTATTCAAACACTTCTCTCAAATACGTCTCCCTGTATGCGCTCATTCTCCTAACGGGAATTACCTCAACAAACAGCTTCTATCCCAGGACAGTAGCTCTTTTGAATTCTCCTGTATAGTGCAGTGTTGGTGTGGTGTCGGAGGTTTCCAGTTCAATGTGCGAAGGGTGAAGGATGTGTGTTTGTGTTTATTTTCATGGTCATGATCATGATGTGCCCTGAAGATGGTGTTTGATTTCGTTGTACAAGGTGCAATGACAATAAAGTAAACTAAACTAAACTAAAGCAATCAAATCATACTAGGAAACAGACAATATAAATCGTAAGTATACGAGCGGCAAAGTTACGGTCATACAATCACAAGTGGGAGGGGATGGGTGATAAGGAGTGATGATAAGATTAACAGTAATAGTAGTGCAGACTTTGTAATAGTTGAACAGAGTTGAGGGAATTATTTGTTTAGCAGAGTGATGGCTTTCGGGCAAAAACTGTCCTTGTGTCTAGTTCTGGTGTGCAGTGCTCTATAGCATCGTTTTGAGGGAAGGAGTTGAAACAGTTTATGTCCGGAATGTGAGGGGTCTATAAATATTTTCACAGCCGTCTTTTTGACTTGTGCAGTATACAGGTCCTCAATTGAAGGCAGGTTGGTAGTAGTTGTTTTTTCTGCAGTCCTAATTACTCTCTGAAGTTTGTCTGCCAGTTGAGTTGCAGAACCCAACCAGACAATTATAGAGGTGCAGATGATAGACTCAGTGATTCCTCCATAGAACTGTATCAGCAGCTCCTTGGGCAGTTTGAGCTTTCTGAGTTGGCGCAGAAAGAACATTATTTGTTGTGCTTTTTTGATTATGTTTTTGATGTTAGGTGTCCATTTTACATCATGTGATATAGTTGAACCTAGAAATTTGAAGGTCTCTACTGTTGATACGGTGTTGTCTAGTATTGTAAGAGGTGGTAGCATGGAAAGTACAAAGATTATAAATAGATTCATTTTAAATGGTTATAATGTGCCCTAGTTTTTGATTTAAAAGATTCAAATTGGAACTCTTCCATGCCCATAGAATGGGCAATAAATGAAGAAATTCAAACACATTTTTAGGTATATTGGAAAATATAGTTAAAAATGGAAAATAGATTTCATCAAAGCAAGCTACAATTGTTCTTCAAAATATTTTACCACCGTGTTGTTTTTTTAGCCATTGCAAAGTACAAACATACCATCATAAATGATTTTTATGATCAATTCTCCAAAATAAATCGATGGCAGGTTTATGCTATAAAGAATGCAAGCTCATTTATAGAATTCACATCTCAAATCCTCTTTCCATACATTTTCTGTGATTTTCAAGGGAACCTGTCACATATGCTATATTATTTTAATATATTAACATTAGGATAATGATTTTAAACATTTAGTATGTATTTTAAAAGGGATAATATTTAACTCTTTAAAGGAGATAGAGGTGAACCAGTCTTTAAATCTTATTTATGTTAAGAATAAATGAGTTCTTAAAATCTTAAAAGTATTATGTCTACATCAAAATGCAGGTATTCTTTGATTTACAACCACAATTTAGCCCCAGAATAATCTTGCCAAGAAATTTGTTAAGTGAATTTTTCCCATTTACAACTTTTCTTGCCATATTTATTAATTGAATTACTGCAGTTGTTAAATTAGTAACACTATTGTTAAGTGAACCTGGCTTCCCCGTTGACTTTGCTTGTCAGAAGGTCACAAAAGGTGATCACATGACCCCAGGACTCTGCAACTGTCATAAATATGAGTAAGTTGCCAAGCATCTGAATATAAATCACATGACCATAGGCTTGTTACAACGGACATAAGTGTGTAAAATGGTCATAACTCACTTTTTTCACTGTCATTGTAACTTTGAACAGTCACTAAATGAACTGTTGTAAGTTGAGTACAGGTCATAGAAATCGATGTATGTTTACATGTTAAAAGAGGGGCAAGTTTTGAGTGGGTATTTTATTATGTGAAGAATATAATCCAAATTGTTATGTTCTTCTCTCAGTTTACTAGCAAATCGGAAGCTCTGTGGTTGAAAACACGTGCACTTATTAACCATTTGGCCTTTGGTTTTGATAGAAGGTAAGTTATATCATTTTATACAAATGACAATCCTGTCCAAAATATTCAGTAAGTAAATGCAAACAGATTTTAAGGCAACTCTTCCATATGATCAAGGATTCTTGCTGTCAGAAATTAACCACCAATTAAATGTAAGAAATAAGCAAAGTTGCAAGTGCTGAAAAGGTTTTTAATTTAGCTTTTGTCTAGAGAATATTTTTGTGCTTTAAGTGAGCAAAGCATTTGTATCAAGTGGGCATTTGTTGAAAAAGTAGCACTATGCAATCCCAAGAAAACCATAGTTTATTTAAAGAGTTGTAGCAAGAATTTCATTTATGCCTTCACATATTTCAGAGTGCTTTTTGGAACTGAATATGAAGAATTGCATAGTCCTGTTCATACATGTTACAAATTAAACTCTTGAGCAATGTTTATAACTAATTTATTTTATTCCCATTTTTAAAGCAAATCCATGTCAGTGGATCCAAGTAAACCACTTTTTATTCCAGCAGGAATGGACTCTCTTAGTCAAATAGGTGGGTAGTGTTTTTTATAATTTGGTTGACTATAGTTGAGTTATTGCCCAGGCAGATTTAAGAATGTAGAGAGTACAGGAATGGAACAGACAAAAGAAAAGTGGTTCCGAAACATCAAAGAATGCATTTATGTATATCATTGAAGTAGATTGCAACGTTTTGAAAGATTCAAAAATCTCCTACAGTACTATTCTAATCATATAAATTACAATGTAATCCTCAGTGGTAGGATTCAAATTTTTTTAGTACTGGTTCTGCGGACGTAGCTAGGTGGGCATGGCCATGTGACTGGGTGGGCATGGCCCATTTTTGCCGCAGCAACCCCCCCTCATTTTTTTGGGCCTTCTGGGCCTCAGGCAAGCCTTCTGGGGCGGGTGACGTTTTTGCTCCCAGAAGGCATCCCTGGGGCTCAGGAAGGAAAAAAACCTGAGCATGGGGGGGAACGCAGCACCATCTCTGCACTCTGTTTTGGAGCCTCCTAGGCCTCAAGGAAGCCTCCTGGGGAGTGTTTTTGCTCCCAGGAAGCTTCCCTGGGGCTCAGGAAGGAAAAAAAAACGGAGCCTGGAGGGCCACGCAGCACCGCCCCTACGCTCCGTTTTGGGGCCTTCTGGGCCTCAGGGAAGCCTCCTGGGGGGGCGTTTTTGCTCCCAAGAAGCTTCCCTGGGGCTCAAGAAGGCAAAAAATGGGGTGGGGGTTGCTGCGACCCCCCTCCATTTTTTGCCTTCCTGGGCCTCAGAGAAGCCTCCTGGTTGAAGCAGTAAGACAGCGAGAGGAATCCCAGCACAGCTGATCATAAGAACAGCTGATTGTCGGGAGAGGGAAAAAAGAAATACTTTAAGGAGTGACTGGGCAGGGAAGAACGCAGTCAGCGATGTCGGGCATGCGCGCGATGTTGCGCATGCGCAATAAAGACTGATTGGGAAGGGAGGACAGCAACCGGGTCAGGGGTAGCCAGCCAGAAGTTACTACCGGTTTGGTGACCCTCACCAAATCCTTGCTGAATACCACCACTGGTAATCCTACAGATATCTATTCTGTCGTATTGGGTTCAGTAAGAATTATGCTCAGTCAGATGTATAACAGGTGTTAGCTGTGGTACAGCAATTTTAATGTTCCAAGTTGCCTGAGCCATCTGCATGTTCACTGGATGATTTGAATCAGTAACTGTCTCTCAGCCCAGCTTACTGTGTTTCCCCGAAAATAAGACCGGGTATTATATTAATTTTTGCTCCAAAAGGTTTATTTTCTGGTTAGATCTTATTTTTGGGGAAATACGGTACTAAATGTGTCTGTGTAACTGACAATCTTAACTGGAGCGTATTTTTTGGGTAGGGCTTATATTATGAGCATCCTGAAAAATCATGCTAGGGCTTATTTTTTGATTGGGTGTTATTTTGTGGGAAGCACAGTAGCCTGGGCTGAGAGAAAGTAACTGATTCAAATCATCCAGTGAACATTCAGATGGCAGGAGAAAACGGGAAGAGGGAGCAGATGGCAGGTGGCTTACTTCTGTTTTAAACTGCTGAGTGAATATTATTACAGATATTTTTAATAATTGTTAGGACCTCCTCCTGCTACTGATAGCGACATTGGAAAGTTGAATGCACAAACACCTTTGGATTTATGGAAAAAAGTTTTTGGAAAGATATTTCCCCCAAAGGTATGTTTATTTCTAATTTATATATTAGAATTATTATTAATTATTAATGATATATTAAATTACCTGTAAAAAAGGTAAAGGTTTCCCTCATACATACGTGCTAATAGTTTCCAGTTCTGGAGGGTGGTGCTCATCTCCGTTACAAAGCCAAAGAGCCAGCACTGTCCGAAGACATCTCCGTGGTCATGTGGCCAGGATGACTAAACACCAAAGATGCACGGAACGCTGTTACCTTCCCACCAAAGTGGTCTCTATTTTTCTACTTACAGTTTTACATGCTTTCGGACTGCTAGGTTGGCAGAAGCTGGGACAAGTAACGGGAGCTCACTCCATTATGTGGTGCTAGGGATTTGAACTGCTGACCTTTCTGATTGACAAGCTCAGCATCTTACCCACTGAGCCACCGCATCCCTTTTAAATTACTTGTAATTAACCCAAATTGTTAGTTATGTTCGTCACAGCTTGGACCAATAAAATATAACTGAATCCCTTTAAGAAAAAAGGAACTTAAGAATCCCTATGGAGACCCAGTCTTTTAGCTGATGTTCTATTAGCAATCAGCACTGCCTAGTTGCTACAACCATCATAGCCTAGGGCCTTCATCATAAATTGCCCTATATATGAATGAGCTGCAAAGGAAAAAACAGATACTCATATAGGAGTAACTTCACTGTTAACTGAATGCCTTCTTTCATTTTTCTTGAAATACTTCAGAGACAAAGCTGCTTTTCTGCCTATTACTGCATAACTCACATGTGGTGCACTTGAGCCACCTTCTAGCTCTATTAATAAGAGTTGCCTGAAACAACCCAGAGATGTTACAATTCTGGTGTCCTTGATGGACAAATCTGTATTCAGAGGTAGAAGGAAAGGGGAGCAGGCTCTAATTTGATTATTTTAGCAGCAAAAAATGGTACCTTCCCTCACAGCATTAGATAGTTCTGATTAGGATAGCAAATAGATTGGTAATAAAATAATAATAATGAAAACAATAACACATTATAATTAATCATAATATCAAAAAAGAGCCTTTCAACTAAAAAGTCCACAACAAATAATTAGCAGAGAAAAACGGGATACTTGGGCTGAAAATGTTCCTCTACGCTTGTTTAAGGGACATTTCAAAGCACATTTAAGTTAAGCAAGTAAATAGAATTACTTCTGGTAGTTTTTACTTTATATTTTCAGAAAGTTGACATTTTCAAAGAAGCTAGGGACCCAGCTCAGGATCCACAATATGCTGAATATGAAGTTGATGCCATGCGAAGTCAAAAAAATGAGGTATGTTGTTATGCTACTATTGTGGCCATATTTTCTATGATAAATCCTGGATAATTTATCTGGTGTTCCTCAACTGCTATATTTCCAAAACCAGTAAAGTTGAGCTTTTCTGGTCAGAGATCCTCTTTTAATCACAAAGATTTTTCCCCAAATCACTGTGAATAATAATTTCCTAATATAACCCACAACAATTTGAGTTACTATAGAAATAAAACAAAGATTTCTGGGTGAGGAATTGTGAGCTAGCATGTCTCCAAAGAAACAGCACAAATTTCACAACTGAAGGACTAACAAGGAGACCGGTCCCATGAAATCTCTCTGAGATATATTTATCATTGGATAGCTTAATATTAGTTTCTAGAAAATTGTTTATTTATATGCATATTAACCCAAATACATCTATGTAATTGTAATCCCTGTGAAAAGTCTGTCTCTTCCATTAAGGCAACAGAACCATAAACAAGAATACTCCATTCTGAAATCCACATTGGGTAAATAGTATGATAATACAGTCTGACATTTAGAATTGCTAGGCCATACCTTTCTTCCAAATCTTGCAAATTCTTGAATTTGTTTCTTGATGTCCTGATAGCCTGCCATTATTTGTCTATGCCATTCATTCAGTATCTTATTCTCAATAGGGATTAAAATAATTTGAAATAAAAATTTTAATCTTCGTAAAGTGTTCATTTTAATTGCTGTACTTCTTCCTAACCAAGACAAATTTTATTTCTTCTATTTAGAAATATCAAGTATGGTATGTTTCTGAATTGGGAAATAATAATTCTTGAATAGATTCGCCTTTTTTAGCGGTAAAACTAATGCCAGTTAGACAATTCACAAATTGCTTTCCATCTTCTGTCAAACTCCATATCAACACCTAAGTTTTCTCTTTAACATTTTCACCAATATATACAGTATATGTTTCATCAATCTTTTTAAGGAGGCTCTACAATTAACAATTGTTTTAAGGGTTTCTGCTTATTTATATGAAATAACAATGTCTATATGAGAATCTATTTGTATGAATAAATGTCAGATTTGATTTCAGTTTTTACAGAGGGATTATATAGTCTCCTAGCCTTGATTTGACTGTTTCTAGATCAATATCCTGGACTGTATTAGCATTAAATAAAACTAATTTTGTAAAAATAGGTCCGTATAACGTTTGTTAAAATCTTAAACAACTGCATATTTTCTATACAACTTTCTGAATTCTGAATTTCCACATTACATTTAAAGACCTAGCTTAACATAAATGCATCCTAGGGATCACATCATTAGTAGTGAATGAAATTATTATCATAACTGATATAATGTTTATTTGTAGAACTGAAATCATCTGCAATTAAATACATATTCTAGGATACTTCCACTAGATGACAAATAAATTTGGGATGACAGATTTAGGTCATTAATTGTGATCCTGGTTTGTGTATGAATATGTGTACATTCCACTGGATTCTGACTTTCATAGAGCTCAGTTTTGTTACTGAATTTATTTTGTCACTTAGAATAGAGCATTCAGTTTAATTGCTTGTCATATACATTCTTGCTTTTCATTCATTCAAAATGTGATTGGGTGCTGCTTTTATTAACAAAATAGGAAAAATAGGGTAGCAGTAAGATTAATTTTCAATATGATTTAATCTTTTTCCAGGAATTTCTTAGTTGTAGCATTCTTTTCTTTTAGAAAGATTGTTATCGTTATTGATGCCATTGAATGTTGCTACAGCTTTTGTTGCTGGTACTATTGCAGGAAAAAAAAATGGTAATAGACAAGTTTCTGTCAAAAGAAAATTATCTGCAGTTATTTCCCTAAAATTTCCATTTGAAGTTCAGTTATTATAAGATTATTGTAACATTTGAACTGGCTTTTATGAAAACATTTTGGGATTTTTATATTTCATTTGATTTTAAAAGCTGCCAGATAACCCTGAATACATCTGTAAGGAAACAATTCCCTAGCTCCATTCAGTTTTTAAATGCATTAGGATTTCCCATAATTATATGAAAATTGAGAGTGAAATGGCTGTTATCTTAAGAATAAGTATTAAATGCTTCAGAAAGCTAATCCCCCCCCCCCCGCCTTTTTGTAGTTCTTTGTTCCATACATTCTTTTAAAGATAAAGCATTTATAGAGAGAAGAGCATTTATGCTAAAGGTATACTGTCAAATATAATGCTTTGTATTCTGTTTCTTGGAGGTATTCGTGCATGGTAGCTTTTTAGGTTGTGCATTTTTCTCTGATCATTTCATGTTGCTCTTTGGACTCAGAATGCCTATCTATAGGGTTTTATATGCTTCTCATATTGCTGATGACATTAGGAACCACGCATTGGAAGCAGTACCAGGGATCTCTATTTCTAACCAAATCTTTCTCAAAGTCAAAGAAAAATCTGTCCTAGAATGAAACTTTTTGGACTTTTTTTTTTTGCATTGATGCTAAACTGCTATGCAAAAAGCCTGCCATTATTCTAGCATACAACACATGTCCATGTATAGCAGTTTACTTTTTTCTTATGGCTTTTTCATTCAGCACAGATGATTTTCCCCACAGTTCTTGATGATAATAGGGCTGGAATTGAATTTCGATGAAATTTGGTTGTAGTGACGATGAAGAGGCTCTGCTATAAGAAGATACTTAAAATTACAGAATTTGTGATTCTGTTTATTTCAGATTTTTTAATACAAATAATTTGATAGAATAAACCTATATTGTCAATGTTACGCACTTCAGAGATAGTGTGCAATAATTAATGTTGTTTATTTATATCATTATCAGACTATGATACTAGAAAGTAATTTTGGTAACCTTTACTTAAAATAAGGCAATTCCCCATTCCTAATCCTAACTCCCCAGAACAGTTTACAATCAGTTAACTCAGAATTAAGGCTTATTTGATCAGTGGAGATCATAACTGCAACATAATCCTTTTCCATTTGATAAAGAATTCAAACTATTCTTAGTCCTCAAATGGATGACAGTAGATTTAATTTCTGGCTACTTTAAAAACTAATTATAGCTCATTTGTTTAGTACTTAATGCAATTGTTGATATTTTTCAAGTTGTTTGCACAGTTGTTAGTATTCAAGTCACTTTCTGCTTGGCCTGATCAGATAAGTAAATAAGCATCTGGAGGACAAGAAGGGTCTGAAAATGTATGCACTCAATTTGAGAAGTTAATTAACAATTTTGCAAAATTTACAGAAAGATATGTGACAAACTAAAATAATGTATGAAATGCCCATAATTATGAAAAAATGTTTTCATTGTATTATGGTGATAAATAGTCTAGTCCACATTTGTACTTTTTCCATTTTGAAAATTCAAAATCAATTCACTTTTGAATTGTCAAGTTACTAAATACAAAGCTATTTCCAAGCCTCAGTATAGCCCTGGAAAAGGGCTCTTTTACTGCAAGTGGTTGGTTTGAGTGCTCTTACAGTAATATACTTCAGTAATTTTCTAGCAAACCTTGGAATTGGAATGGCATACAGAAACATTATGAAATTAAAAAATTTGCTTAATGTAAAAAAATGTACCTGAAAACTTATTTAACCATGACTTATTCTATGAACCACTTGTAGTTTCAAAGATGAAACTGTTACATTAAACTGAAGCACCAATTTGCCCAGTGAAGGTTATAAACAATCAGACACAAGAATGTTAGCAGTATGTAGATATTTGTAGAATACAAAGAGAAAGGATGGGTCTGATTCAATGTTTGCAGTAGAATATAAAATGAGATGCATTATTGGATTCATAATATTCACAAGCTGAAAAGTGCAATGCAGATGTTGAGATCTTGCAATTTAGTGTTTCAATCTATCCATTTCCCTTTCAGGAATTAGAACAGTACAAAAGAAATGCTGCTAAAACCTGGAAAGAAATAGAATTTGATTCTTGACTGAGAATTATTTACCTTTCATCCAGTTTTCAATTGAAACCTATATTTCAAATGTTTAAATGGATTCAAGTAAAGTTTTAAGACCTTTTTAATATATGACATCAGATCAGTTGTCTCCAGAAGAATTGAAAAGGTAAACCAATGGCAAATTGATGTCCTACTGCCCAGATGGCTATCATAGCCAGCCATTATATTGAAACCTTGCATATATATATATTATCTGTTGGGTACTTTGAAGCAAAAGGTTGAGTAAATAATTCCTGTAGTTGTATAACATTGTGGTTTGTTGTTTATCAGCTGAGCCATAAGCATCTATAACTTTTCCACGCATCAGAACATGCAATAAATTATACATTTTAAACTATTGGACAATGCAGTAGTCCAGAACTAACACATTAAGTTCTGTTACTTGCAGGCTGTTTTTGTTTAAATTGAGGAATGCATAAATTTTATTGATCTTAGCGAAAGTATACTTGAAAATACAGAAATTCATATTTATGTTTTCACACAGCAGTGGCTTAGGCCAATTTAAACTGCATTGAAAAGTGTTTACATTTTAAATAAAATTTTCAGTAGAAGATAAGTTGTACATATAAGGATTTTTCATGCATATATAAGTATATATATATGACATTTTTATGTAACAAGTTCAATAAAAAATAACTCCAATTCATTTCAGTTGTCCATGCCTAATCTTATTGCTAACTGGTTTGTAAGATACAACTAACATTAATTACAGCAATCCACTTCGTCTTTTCAATACGAGTAGTCCTCGGTTAGTGACTATTTGTTCAGCTATCATTTGAAGTTATGACAGTGCTGAAATTGTCCTCGAAATTGCAGCTTGTCCTCGAAATTGCAGTCATCTTTTGAAGCATCCCCATGGTCACATGATCACAATTCAGGCACTTGGCAACTAACTCACAATTATGATGGTCACAGCATCTTGCAGTCACATAATAACTATTTGTGACCTTCCCTGACAGCTTTCAACAAGCAAAGCCACTGAGAAAGCCAGCAGGAGGTCACAAATAGCAATCACATGACATCACACCTAATGACCACACAGGATTTGCTTAATGACCTCAACTGGAACTGTGATTATAAGTGAGTGTGCTCACAACTACATTGTTTAGAACAGAGTTCCCAATCCTACGTACCATTGTTAACCAAGTCCTGACTACTGAAGAACCAATCTCTTAGCAGTAATAAAGATAATAATAAAAGCACGGGGAATCTGTTTCTATTGTTCAGCTGCAATTTCCAGGCATGTTGTTCAAAAGTATGTGTGCATCTAAAATATTAAACTTTGTTTCAAATTCAAATAAATATGTAATTACCAGAATATATTAACTCCAGTAAAACCTTTCTTAGATTGAACAAATAAGGAGAAAATATAAAAACTTGTCTTATTCCTTTCCTGACTTGGAACCAATTTATTTTGCCATGTTCCATCTGGATTGCATCTTATCCTGTATATACAGTAAGTTTTTCTATTTCCATTTTCTGAAGGGCCTTCTACAGCTTATTATGATTGACAAAATTAAAGGTCTTGCTATATCTGTGGAGCCCATATTGTATTTTTTAGTTTTTCTCAATTATCCAGTCTACATCAAAAAAGCTTTGTTACTTTTCAACCTATTCTGAAAATTCAGCTTCAGTATCTGGCATCTCTCTTTCCATTTAGGGATCTAAACTGTATTGAGTGATCCTAAACATTATTTTACTAGCATGTAACTTAAGGATATAATGTAGGTGTCTGCACTCTGGTAAGTGTCCATTCTTTGCTATTGTATGTAGACTGACCTTTTCCAATCTGTTTCCTCTGTGTTGTTTCAAGGATTGACTGGCATAGTTTAGAGATTCTTTACAGATTCTTCTTTTGTTACATCCCATAGTTCTTTAGATATTCAGTTTTCATAACCTTGAGATTTGGTAACGACCAGACCACCGATCAAGCTTCATCTTCTAGTACGTTTGAGGTTGGAATCTCCTGTGATCTTTTGGGGTGGGGGAAGCTTGTTTTTGGAGCAAGTTTCATTATAAATAATCTTTACAGACATTGTAATGCTGCATCTTTCTGTTCTAACTGCTGCCTTTGTTAAGTTTTTCTTGCCTGGCATCATCAGCGACTAAATGTCCTAATGTCAGAATTCCGGCAGTTACCCCCATTTAAATCATAAGTTTTGAGCCAAACTTCCCAAACTTAAAAAGGATTTATTGGGAGTTAACATACTGGCACTGCCTGGGTGTAGCCAACTCTGAGACACATAATTCATCGTCACCCTTGACCCTGATTTTCCCCCCACCCCCTGGATGTATCATAATTCATATTCTCCAATGGGACACATCCATAGCCAAGAGTCATCGATCATGCTCTCCAGTTAGAATTTTGCCCAGCAGAAACTTCAGTCACCTAGTTACTATCTTTGAAAATATTTATGGAATGCATTTTCGGTTTTGCAAGCTGCTGCACTGCTCCCCTCTCCCTTTCTGTTGGCAACTCTAAAAAGACCATAGAAATATTTTATGAGTTGACACCTAAATGAGTTAATTTAGCCACAGTATAAATATCTGTAGTACTCCAAAAGATTTTCAACTTTTCCTCCCTTGCATATTAAGTGCCATCTGACCTGAAGAACACATCTCCTAACACAAAATCATCACTTTATCTTGCCTAACCATGTGCTTACTTTAGTTAAATGCAAGACTGGTTAACCATTGCCTTCTCCCCCACAGTGTGAATTGATGCCTTGCTGTTCTCATTCAGCATCTTCCAAAGCACTATAGTGTGATGTAGGCTCCTGCTTGCTTTAGCTGGGTGACTTTCATGCCTTACAATTAACGTGCTGCTGAGAAAGTTATATATAGATAAAGCATGTCCTTCTCAGCTAAATGTTAATTGCTGAGTGGGGTGGTATTCATTGACTTTGAGCTGGTGCACTATAAAAATGTGTACCAAAAGGCAAACATAACAATCTCAAGACCAAAGTTTGGTATTCTTAAACTTTTAAAAGTTCTAATAGCAGCTGATGAACTGTAAAAATCCTTACATTGTTCTTATGAACAAGTTCTGGAATCAGCAATAAATCTGAACAGCTGCTTTGTTGTCCAGATATGCAGCAGATTGATAAACTAGGGAATTCTGGGTGTCACATTCCCCAAACATCTCAAGTATATTAAACTGAGGAAAGGCTGGTTTAAAAGGCAAACTGTTCTAATCATGGCTCCTGCCCCTGATCCATTCAACTGGAATTTACTTTTTTAACTTTGCCAAAAGAAAGTGGGCCCCTTCAGCTATTTTAAAAGTGCTAACATATATCCCCAATCTTCCTTTCACAAGTTAAACCGGTTCTTCAATCTTTTTTTGTAGAGCTTGGGTTAGAGACTGAAACTTTTATTTAAATGTATTTATTTAAAATATCTTCATCCCACTTTTTCTTTTTACTTAAATAGCAGTCAGAGCTAACAAGTTTTTTTTTTAAAGACCACACATTTTAACACACAAGAAAAAAAAGTAACGTATATATTTTAAATAAGTTGGATCCAGTCATCAACATCAAGTAAATAAAATGTGAACACTGGAACATTTCTTCATCTTAAGCTGAGAACTAAAAGTTAAAGCTAAGTGAACTTCAAGCAGAAGGAATACTACAAAAATCCCACTTCTGTCTGGGCATTAAAATGAGGTTACTATGCATCATTTTTTTTCCAGACATAGCCTCTTTAAAAGCTTCATCCAGCCAAGGTTTTTGTTTTTTTAATAATTAAAATATCTGGTATTTTGTAATTCCTGATGAACTCCTTTGCTTTCTTATTCTTTGAAATCTACTCTAGGGGCTAGTGAAGCCTGCTGATTGCATGCTGGATGTTGAATATGCTGTTGGGAAGATATGTGTCTTAGTGGCATCCGCAGAACCAGAGCCAATGCCCATTAGGGCATTGATGAAGTTCCTCTGTAGTGGTTCATGTTTGGGAGGAACAACCGAAACATCAGCACCCTCATCTGTGCATGCTATGTGTCATGCAACCCACTAAGGCACTCTTTAACACTCTAGCTTGGTAGGGGAAAGTTCATTTGGGCATCCTTTTTGTTAGTACATATGGCCAGGACAGATACTTCCCTTCTCTATACTTGGAGTGGGGTGGGGGGGTGGGGGGTTGTTTTTTGTTTTGTAAGTGAAGAACTTTCATAATTCTCTGTTAAATTCCCTTCGGCCATTTTCAATCCATTTCTCTGATCTATCAGTTTGAACCCACTCTCACTGAGCTGTAAAGCAGTTTCTTATATTCAGTACCAGGGTCCCATGCTATGTAGAGATATGGGCTTTTTAAAGTAATGCCTAAACCCAACTAGAGTGGGGTGGGGGACGGGGAGGCTGTAATCTCAAATCCCATCAAACCCAAGCCGAGCTCCAATGCGGCTTTGGGGGAGGGCATGTTGAGCTCCTCTTGAAGTTAATGAAGCTTGTTAGATTGCACCTCTGCGACAGATGAAAAGTATGATTGAAAAATGTTGGCTAGAGGTAGGTGGTAGGTATGTGTACCAGGTGGCAGTCTAATAAAAAAGGACAGAGTGTTTACTTTGTGCTGAAAAGCTAGTCACTGTAGTCCCCCAGATCTTGTAATATATGTTGTGATTGAAAGCACAGCATCTCTTCACATCAGAAATCCCTCTCAAATACAGAGTCCAATTTCACTTCAGTTACATGGTTGAGTCTCAACCCTTAGTAAAGTCTGCTTGCCCAGTTGTTATGTACTGGAGAGGAGAAGGAGGCCTAGAAATGTACAAGTTTTGTAAATTTCAAAATGAAGCAGCTTGCTGTTTAGACATTTTTCAGTGTACACTTAGTTCATCACTGAATACAATACATCACTCAGTAAATTACTAAATTGTATTGTCATTATCAGATCCTTTGGTTTTCTGGAATGATGAAGGTGCAGTTCACTTCGGCTATAAATTCACTACAATAAATATTCAAATTAATCCTTCTTCCTTAGCTTTCCACCTACAAATATAATCTGACTTTCAGAGGTTTTTATATCAATAATATCTGAGAAGTGATTTGCACAATTAAGCATAATCATAGGATTTGTCAGCATAATGATAACTAATCCCAGCTATAGACGCTCACTATTTAAATGATTGGACAGTTTCCCATCCATAAAATCAATAGTCTGCTGTCTGAAGTCATCCAATATTTTAAACATTGTTAGTCCAATATTCAGTATGCTTGGTTGCCTTTGTTAACTGAACATAACAATTTCTAAGTTTGTACCTCTACATATAAATCAGAATATCCAGTATACTCCAAGACTCCCCATCTTTAAAATAATGTTTCCACATTGTGTTGAATAGGGCACTATGTTATCCAACAACATCCTTCTATGACCAAGATTCTTTTATCATTTTTAATTGTAAATATCGTAAGCCCTCTTAGTTGAAAGGCCTAAATTTTCAGTGAAAAACCCTTTCTTTTAAAGGGGGCACATTTATAGTTAACTATTCAGGGTTTCTAGGACATGAATGCCATGCCCCCAGTTAAGTTCTGTTCCAGAAAATAAGTCCATAAAACTGTAGATATGGATGGAGACCAGAGGATGGATGTTGCCAACATAACTGCATCTCCCTG